CGCTCCTCCCGGGCTCCCGGCCTCGGCTCCGCGCGGACGCCGAGGAAATGAGTGCGGCCACGGCGCCGGCGCCCGAGCGCGGCTGGAAGAGCGAGAAAGTGGATGAGGCGCAGGCCCTGGCGCGGAGCTGCGCCGCCCGCCGCCCCGACTTCCAGCCGTGCGACGGGCTGTCCATCTGCGCCACGCACAGCCACGGCAAGTGCTTCAAGCTGCACTGGTGCTGTCACCTAGGATGGTGTCACTGTAAGTCCCGCCTCCGTGCGGCCCGCCGCGCTCCCGGGGCGGCCGGGGCTGCGGCGCCGCAGGCCGGGGTCGCGCCGGGCTCCGTCCACCGGAGCTGCCCAAGCGCGCGACGCCTGGCGCCGGCGCTGCCTCGGCAACGCGAGGAAATCCCGGGGGACGGGGGGGGGTGCGGGAAGGGGACGGACCTGGCAGCCACGAAAGGGGAGCTCCCCGTGCCGGGAAAACCCGAGTCTCCCTTCCTTTTTCTTGTCTTTGGGCCCCGAAATATCATCATCGGGCGGTGGGCTGAGAAATGCTGGGGCCGGCTCTGGTCTCGCTCGGGAGGGGAAGCCTCGCCCCGGGTCTGGAGGCTCCGTGCCGTCGCCTCTTGAACTTCTCTGCGTTTATAGGAAAGAAAAAGCCCTGGGAAATGGAATCGGGGTCCAGTTATTGTGCTTGAGTTGAGCAAAGCGCTCAAGCGTGAGAGGTTTGCTCCCAGAAGTTATAAAAGGAGCAGCCGTTTTGGAGGTTGGACTCCCTCCGTACCCAGGTGCAGCCTTTAGAGCCATTGTGTGCATCTGCAAGAATAACAAAATAAAGTGAGAGTGAGCTTAACGGGCCGTGATCTAATGTAGAAAACCCCAGAACTAAATGGTCTAGGCCCTATTTATCCTGTGATTTTTAAATAGATTACACTTAAGCAGCCATTTAATCAGGATTCCACAATTAGATTAGTTCATGGCATTTGGCCTACTGTGATGAATCATTTCGCTTTTCAGGAATATAATCTAAAGTTAGTTTCCACATAGTCTTATAGTAGAGTAGAGAGTTTGGAGACAAATCTTCCAAGTGGTTTTAAGTTAAATTACTTTTTCCTTGTGAGAAGAAAATGGCTCACATACAGAGATTCTTACAGACTGAGCACAATCGAATATTTTAGTTGCATTTATGAATTCAAGGGTAGTGGATCCTTGTGTTTTCTTTATAAATTCATGGTATGTGGAATAGGCACTGATGTTTTTATGTTTCATTCACTGATGTGTTCTTTTCTTCCTACTTCTCATTCTTCCTAGTTCAGGCCTGGTCCCATTTAGAAAGCTGGGAACAGGGTAAAGAAATGAAAGTAGTAACTGGGAACTTGGGGTGCTGAAGAGCACAGTAGGATATGTCTTTAAGGCCTGTTTCTTGGACAAACATAGATTGTAGTATGGAACAGGAGGAAGGTTTAGTGTGGTGCAGGTGAATACTTGTCTTCTTTCAGCAGGGCCTCTTATGAGAACACTGTTACTAATGGGAACTTTGCTGTCTAATCAAATTGCTTCTAACTTCCAACAGCCTTTCTTAAAAAGAGCTGATTCAGTTGCTTTCTACCTTCTTTCTGCTGGTACTATTTGTACCTAATGACATCATATAGAACAATTCTTTTTCAGCCCGTGACTGTTTCTACCCTTCAGATATGCATATCTCAATACACAGAGGCATTTCTTGCCATTATGGACTATCTTGTCTATCTGTGGACATTTCCAGAATGAAATAGGTCTTCCTGGTGTTTCTTGAAACGTGTTTAGACTTCATATTCATTGATTGACTGCACAAAGATTGCCAGCATTTTTTTCTGAAGCCATTGTTTAGAACTATTTTTAAGTTCCATTCCCAGTGCCCTTCCTTGTATAGAATAGTATCCAGGCTCCTAAGCATCCTGATTCTTTTTCTAAACTTGCCAGTGGTAGGATTTTGTGAAGACTGTGCTACAAAGGTAGACTTTATTCCACCAGTAATCTAGAGTGAAGTGAAACTGCTGTCTCCCACCTTTGAGATGCTGTTGAATTTGCTAGGGTCCCATTGCCTTTTCTGGTATCTACATCTTATTGCTGTGAGCTTGCAGTTAATTAAGCCATCAGTTTTTTTTAAACATTTGCAGCAGTTAAATACCATCTTGCCATCTCAATGTGATAGAAGTATTTTTGGACACAGATACTGATCCCCTGGGTATTTTTCCTAAATTTCATTTTATGAGATTTAGCCTGTTTTTCTGACTTACGGTGTTTTAAAATGCTGGCAAAGATATTTTGTGTGTGTGTGTGTGTGGTGTGTATGTGTGTATGTGTTCACGCATGTGTGCATGCATGCATGCACTTACACTCATAAATATGTTTTAGATATAAGTTATTTCCAAAATTTCTTATTATTCACATGTTAGATGCCAGTAGTACTACATCTTTGTTCAAGTTATTGATAAAGTAGTTGAATACGAGAAGACCACATAGAGATTCCTGAAGCCTGCTGGTAGATCTGCCCTTGAAGCTGATGACAATTGAATAATCAGTTCTTGTTAAAGTTGTCCATGCTGTTAACTAGTTGCCCAAATGTTTAATTATTCATGTATATTTTTCATGTCCTTGTGAGTATAATGAAAACCTGGAAAAAATTTGTTGCTGTTCTACCAACATAGGACTTTCACTGCTTTTTTTAAATTCATGATCTAACTATATAAATCTAGTCTTAAAAAGATAATAGATTATATAATGTAACTCAGGTTGGTTCCACAAGTACTTACTGTTTTCTAAGTACTTACTATTTTCTAAGTGGTTAGGGACTGATTTTAATGTATCTGAATTTAGAAAAGGGGTGACGTCAAGTGTGCTGGACTGTTTCTTTCTAGTTGTTCAGCAGTCAGACCTATATTCATTCTCTCTTTTCCAGGGTTCCACCAGGCTCTGAGTCTGCTTGCTGCACTTGCAGTGAGTCAGGGATCCCATGCATGAGCAGCTGTGGTGTTTGAAGCAGCCAGATGCTGTATTACTGTCGCCTCACTTGGCTGGGCATCAGTTCTTCCTATCCGTTGTATCCAAATAGCATTATTCTTGAGGGAAAACAGAGTTAACATGTTTGAGAATCATTTTCTTTTTTGACACTAGTGTAACATATCAGTTGTTATCAGGATTCTTCTTTTGTTGCACATGGCTTGAACATCTTTTGTTTATGACATCTTTTGTTTATGTGTGTGTGTGTGTGTGTGTGTGTGTGTGTGGGTGGCAGTGCCATAGCTTGAACTTAGACCCCATACTCTTACTTGCCTTTTTTGGTCAAGGCTGACACTCTGCCACTTGAGTCACATCTCCACTTTCAATGAGATATTTGTGTGCCTGAGTGTGTGAGTCAGCCAGCCAGCCAGCCAGCTAGCTAGTCCTAGGCCTTGAACTCAAGATCTGGATGCTGTTCTTGAGCTTTGTTGCTCAAGATTAGTGCTCTTATCGCCTGAGCTACAGCTCCACTTCCAGCTTTTGGCTAATTGGAAATAAGAGTCTCCTAGACTTTCCTACATAGGCTGGTTTTGAGTAATGATCCTCAGAGCTCAGCCTTTTCTGAGTAGCAGTTACAGACTTGAGCCACCAGTACTTGGCAAAATGATGAGACATGTTTATGGAAACAGAAGACAGATGTGAATACAGCTGGATCCTTGCCTTTGAGAGGAATGGAAGGGCAGGATCCATGCTGTTTTAAATTTTTTGAAACATCATGAGTGATAAAGGTGAGAGACTGGTTTGCTCACTGGCTGAGGGTACTAAAATGAAAAGCATCCCTTCATTCACATAAAGGCAGATACAGCTGGTTGGTAGAGACAGAGTGGGTAGATCTGAGGTAAAAATCTATAGGCTTGAGTGAACTTGGGAAGAACAGGAAAATTACTAAGGATAACTTTTAGACTTACAAATTTCTACCTTGTGTATCTTGGATGAATGTCAATAAAGTAGGATTGTGAGGAAAATCATGAGGCCAGATTTGGATCTACTGAATTTAAACACTTACATCCATTCATGGTAATGTGAGTGGGCAATTAGATATGGGAATCTAGAACTCAAAGGAGAGGCCTGGGCTAGAGATAATGTAGAAATCATAATGTAGAATTTATTTATAGGTTATTGTTGTTGCCATGATGAAATGTGAGATTGCAAAGAGAGAGATGATAACATGAGAAATGAAGAAAACCTAGGCTTTTGTTTTAGAACACTAATTTGTGGAGTGTAGATATAGGAACATAAGCTTCCAGTGACATCTAAGAAGAGCTACCTAGAGAAGAAAATTCTGCGAGGGGACTACTGATGGCCAAGGGAAATGAGTGCTTGAAAAAGGAGTACTAAGATGGAGCTAGTTTTCTGCGGGTTATTTCTTAAACATTGGTAATTTATACTAGTAGTGATTTTCTTTATTATTAAAGAAATACTAGTAGTAATTTATTTATTATTAAAGAGGGTAAAAGATTTATTCTTGGAACAAAGCACTTTGATACAGGGAATTCTTCAATGTAAAATGGGAATAGAATGCTAGTAGCCAAGAACTAGGACACAGAGATGATTGTTTTAATATTTATTCAGTGATTATTTTGTGCCAGAGTAAGATATTATGCTGAGTACTAATTACGAGTGATATACTAGTCATTGTGTCCGTTTAAATAGAATTGAGAAAAAGACCTAATGAAGTTAAGTAATAACAACAAAAAAAGAAGTAACAACAACAACAAAATAAGAAGTACCTTTCCATGGCACATAGCAAGTAAGGAATGGAGCCTGGATTTGTAGCCAGGTATGCCAGATTCTGGTTCTGGGATCTAGACTTGGAACCACCATCACACAGCAGAGCAGCATAGTGAACTGATCCAATAAAGCCCAGTTCCATTGAACCAGTGATGAGGAAAATGTTGAAGAACTGGACAAGTTGTGCCAATTGCATAGTGAAATACAGAAAAATGAGAACTCTAAAGGGAGAGCATTGGATGTGTTGGAGAATAAAACTCAAATGAAGCATTATGAAAGAGAAAGTGATGAGAAGGTGACAGGTGGAGTTGAGTGGGTGTACGTGGTATGATGTAGGTGCCACCAGCAGAATTCAGAGCTCAGTTTTCTTCAGAAGGAATCTTAAAAGATGTCGCTTTTAGGTTGAAAGGAGGAAGAGTGGGACTTGATGTCCTCTAATAGATGATATTAGCATATCTAAAGAAAGATTGACACTAGAGAATGTGG